GAGCTAGAGCCACACAGACTGGACTTTCACTCAATATCGGTCCTTTACTTTCTGAATAGGTGTGCCTTTTGTAGTTGTCTAAAATTCCATGTTTGACATTTATATGCACAAAATTTTGACATTTTTATCTTTGAACAATTGGCCTCTCAGGAATATATGGGGCCTTGGAGTTGAGGTATGGAGGATCTGATTATCTTAGCAAGGGTGTTCTTAAGGTTAGTTTACTAGCCAATATTTCCATTTCAGTCAAAGGGTATTGTACTAGCTGTATTTGCCATGCACTTGCATGCACCATAGTCATTCATGCATCCAGTGGTCATGGTTAACTTTTTATAATAGAAACCAACTTTAAGAATAGGCATGATGCTGACCATTTCTTCAACTTCTATGCATTCCTAGCCGGATTTGAAGTTGTCATAACGCATACAACAAGAACTACAAGTAAGAAAAGAAATAATGAGATAGTAAAAGTGACAATGAGATGCAATCGTAAAGGAAAAGAAAAGGCACCAAAGTCTTTAGAGTAAGAAGAAGCAGAAATAGACAAGGATATTGTGTCACACCCTAAAATTTCTGATTTTATGTTATGCATAGAAAACACTAAATAAAATGAAAGGTTTTAATATTTGGATAAAATTTACCAAGTTTGAACTAGCGCAAATTTAGTTATAGGAAAAATGTGAATTTTTAAAGTTTTCTAATTTTGATGGGCGTTTGGATGATGTGAGGTTTGTTTGTTGCTTGACTTGGTGTTATGAGTAAGTAAAATTTTGAAAAATTGCCCTATTCTTTGCCCTTGTCCTCGTCCTTACATAGAAAAAAATTGTTTAATATGATTTGTGCTAACACATATTGAAGTTTGTTTTTTGTGATTTGTGCCAGCACACCAATTTTTTAACCTCTAAGACAAATAAAACATTCGGTTACACAATTGTCATCACCAACAATGTAATTTGCAGCTACTAGGCACTGTAATTTTAGTTTTTAGCATATGCAATTGTAGTTCTGAGCATAATTTAATTTAAGAATGTAACATCTTGTTCATTAAACAAATTACATAAATTAATTGGCCATTGAATTTGACTGCATCTTTCCTTCTAATTGATAAATTTCGCTTTCCTTATGTTGATCTTCTTTGATTCCCATATCCTTAGTATTCTATTGCTTGGTGATCAATGCTACCATTTGATGTTTTCTTCCTCTTCTTTTTTTTGGCTTCACCGAGGAGCCTACAAAACATTATTAGTTCACATAAATAAGAATTTTTGCATTTGAATTCAAATTCTATTTGTATATACTGAAATTCTATTTGTATGTACTCAAAATTTTTACCTGCACCGTCTATGTCATTTGTTTTTTTCTTTTCTACTGCCACTAGTTTCTTATTTATTTCTTCTATATGTGTCTTCATTCTGACAGGTTTAGGTGGCTTTTCTTTTCTCTGAATTCTTTCTAGATCATCTATTTCAGTCTGTTGATCTCTAGCTTGTGCTGATATAGTTTCTTCTTCTTTATTTTCTTGCTAGTCATTTTGTGCTTCACCTGCTTACTGAGCAAATAACATTCTATCTAAATTGATTTCCATCTTGTCGAATTCTGCCATAAGGTATTCCATGGTTTCCTCATTTTTTAATCCTTTTGAATTCAATATTGTTGACTTCCTAGATAATATGTTGAATCTCAACAATGAGCTTGTTGCAACTGTTTCTTCTTCTTGTCTTTCAACATGTACCTTCATATCCTTTTTTCTCCACCTGTCTAAGAAGTATTTGTCTAAAATTGTGCTGATTTCCTTTTCAATGACTATTTTCAGGATATGAGAGCAGAGTATCACATCTTTGTTGAATTTTGCACATATATAGGTAAATTCTTCTTCGCCTTCTGTTAGGTCAGTGTTTACTGTATATCTCCTAAACCTATGAATCTCCTAAATCTGGTTACTTTTTTGTCACACTTGAAATGTTTTTCCATCTTCGGTTTCTCTGTAGTTCAGCTTTGATGTTGCCTTCAATTGTAGCTGGAACTTTTTGAATATATTTCTGTTGTATAGCTGTTATGCCTACTGCTCTATTCTATAGCCAAATATAAATTCCTTTGGCCTTTTTTGCTTGCTATAGCTGTCCTCCAGCCTTTCTACTCGATTTATGGTATCAATAATCTGATTGTACTCTTTCAGAAAGCTAATGATACAATAGGTTGGCCCTACATTATCTTTGAACCTAGCATTTGTTGCCTCACTCCTGGATGTGGTCTGTATGAAAGGGAAGAAGTCATTTTTGTAGTAGACCGGGATAAACCTTTTCCTCATTTCCCATATTTTAGAAAAGTAGTTATTCCCTTGAAGGTTTCTTTCCTCAATCATTCTCTTCCAAAGTTGTTCAAATTCTTCCACTATTAGACTATTGTTCACTGTATCTTCGAAGTCTTCATATAGTCTTTCGTTTGCAGCAAACACCTTGACATTCTTATTGTAGCATTTTGTTTTTATGTGGAACAAGCAATTTCTATGCTTTGTTGTTATGAAGACTTGCTCTATTACTGATTTCATCGCCATGTCTTGGTCTATGATGATCGTTTGAGGGTGTTTTCCTCCCATTGCTTCAAAGAAAGTTTGAAATACCCACTTAAAAGTGTCCATTTGTCTTATCATGCAGAAACCACATCCGAAAAGGCAACTTTGCCCATGTCCCGTGATTACAACAAATGGTGCAAAAGGTAAGTTGTATCGGTTGGTCATATATATCGTGTCAAAACTTACACATTCTCCATAATATGCATAATCTGCATAATATTTTGTGCTTCACCTGTTATGCTGAATTTACATTGCACATATGTGTGTAATTTGCATATGTCTGAATTGTAATTTTTGTATACTGGTATTTATAAATTTTACCTGCGTATTCCAGTCAGTCTGATTATCTTCCTGAGAGTTTCTGATCTGTTCCATCATAAGTTCATTGAAGCCTCCCTGCATTGAAATATATTTTAGTTGACAAACAACCTTTTTTATCTTGGCTTTCCTAGGAGTAAGCAATGATTTTGCTCACCTTTTTGTATCTGTAGAAACGGTCAGTGGAACAATTTGTGCCTCCAAATACCAAATACTTGATATGGAGCTGACTGCACTGCCTTCATTGCTTTTATACCATGTGAGTTCATTGATGTTGGATAATCATCAGCTCTGCTTATTGTCATATACATACTATTCTGCTTCATAAAAAAAGAGAGCACATAAGTACTTATTTTGCTTTTTATCAGATCTTCTTAATTTTTCATTGCATATATGAAATGTGTTTTTACCTCAAGTAATTGATCAAACTGGACTGGTGCTTGTATCAAATGCATTAGGGAACCAAATGAATGCTGCAGTAAAATGTAGAATTCAGTAGTTGACATATTTTCATTGTTTATGATTGCATTTTAAATTAGGAGTTATTTTACCTCATACATGTCCTTGGTGTTGACATCATTGTTGTTGTATCCTTGCACTTTCTAAGAATTCTGAATCTGATATTGTGGCTGTGACATTTGCTCCTGTCTTGTACCCTTGGTTCCAACATAAAAAATGCTTGTTTAATCAGTATAATTGCATTAGCAGCAAATATCAGTTACAGTATTTGAAATGTGCAATTTGTTTTTCGGTATTCTATATTTTTGTTTCCTAAGTTTCTTAATTTGTGAATCTGTAATTCTAATTCTTGAATTTGGTTGCAGTAAATACTAGCAATCTTGGATTACATCTTCTTGAGGAAGTCGGTGTGTTTACCTTGGCTGCTGAGGTTAGTGGTTTCCCTTCAATCTGTTGGTTGCTTGCCCCTTTCCTCTGCTCTGCTTGCCCCCACGCAGAGGAGATCTTCATCTTTGATCTGCTGGTTGTTTTCTCCTTTCCTCTGCTCTGATCTCCACGTAGATCATTTCCTCTGTTTTCTTTGCTTCTTTCCCAAGTATACCTGTTATATTTCTATGGAATTTCTGTTTTGTTGGGTTTATGGGCTGCTACATGTTTAGTATGCATCTCTCTTTCATCTTAGTTATTGGGTTTTTTAATTGCACAGAACTTACATCTAACAAACAGCAGCAGATCTGGTCTGCATGAACCTTTTTTGTCTGATGGAATTTGTGTGCTAGCTTCTCCTAAAACACATGTTTTTTCCCTTTTGTAATTTATCTGTTTTTTTGGCAGCCAACAACCATATGCTAGCTTCTCCTAAAATACATGGTTTTTTGTCTGTTGGAATTCGTGTGGTTTTTAGACAGCCAACAACCATGTACTAGCTTTTGCTGAAACACATGGTTGTACTGTAGATAGACTGTTTAATTAAGGATTTTATCTGTATGTGCCTTTGTCCGGAAATGATTATGGATTCTATTCTATTTGTATGTCGCGCGGACCCTAAGCAAGGCTAGCTGGGATTGTCTCAAGGATTAGATGCTATCTGATGCTAAAGCATGATGGTCCGTGTTTGTCTTTGCTTGTCGTCCTAAACATGCATCGTGTGCTCGACATTGCTAGAGAAGAGCCATTGACGAATAAAATGGATGTTTTCTGTGTTCGCGTTAGCAACCAGCACACACAGATGCTTTGGCAAAATCAGCTCCGTCTCCGTACACAAAAAAGTTAAACGAAGCAGATGCCGCGGGTTCCATCTTCCAGCCCAAGGTTTGTCATTGTCACTCTTGTCTGCTTTGCTTGTTTTCATCACGCTGAGCTGATTCATCACAAGCTAGGGATGTACGAGCTCCGAATCCATGCCGATGCATGCCTAGCAGCTAGCACCTGTGTAAGGTGTGAACAACCAGCATGGCAGCAAACCATATGGAAGCAAAGAATCCGGCCTTTAATCCAGCTAATACTTATAAACAGGTATACGGGAGTCAGTCATTATGCAAACGCAGCGCGCTCAGCATCATCATCCTCGTCAGGGTTATCAGCTGGTAGTGAGCTCGTCACCAGACACCTCACACCAGGGTACACCTGTGGCGCTCCATCGCCTCCAGCCATGGCGCTCCTATTCTACAGCAGGGCTGCGGCGGCCGGCGGTGGCGCACCAGACTATAACTTCACCATTACAACCTTTCCGCTGCTGCTGAACAAGACGGGATGCACCACGCCGGCCGCCACGCTGGTGGCCAACTTCACGGTGTCCAGCGACCTGCGCAGCACCGAGAGGCTCATGGTGACCACCTCGGTGCTCATGACCATGCTCGGCGCGGCTCTCTTCGTGCTCTGCATCCTGGTGCGCCTCTCCGGGCGGCACCGCGGCCACTCGACCGCGACGCGCATCTTCTTCCGCGCCTCCTTCGCGCTCTTCCTGCCCCTCATGTCCTACATGTACTCCCAGGCCCGCTCCAAGGACGCCCCCGCGCGCGCCGACCTCATCCTCCTCTGGATGCTCCTCGTCGAGCTCCTCCGCAAGAAGGTGTACGCCATGGTGGCCCCCGAGGGCGACGCCTTCGCGCGCGGCGTCGGGCGCTACTCCTTCTTCGACGCCGTCGAGGAGGCTGCGCGCATGGTGTGGATCGGCTACCTCATCTACTCGAATGAACAACACGATCGCGGAGCCGTCCTCAACTCCTTCTTCGTCATCCTCTGGATCTTCAGCGTCGCCAAGCTCTGCAAGCGGGCCACCTGCATCGAGCTCGCCAAGCGCTCCTTCGACCTCGCCAAGAACGCCAGCCTCGTCTCCGGCTACATGGCGCACCTCGTCCGTGCCAGACAGCAGCATCTCGTTGGTCAACATCAAGAACAAGATATTCCCGTCCTTCGTACATGTAACTACGTGGTGATGGGGGAGAGCCAGCTGGATCGCGAGGAGGCGCCCTGCGGTTTCCGGCCCCGGAGATCGACAACATCCTCGCCCGCCAGCGTGACCACCGACACGATGACGTGCTTGTGGAGACGGTGGAGGTGGCGGTGACCGCGACGACGAAGCTGGTCCGCGTGTGCGACGTCTGGCAGCTCGCCGAGAGTGACCCAGTGTTCCGGTACCACGAGCGGCGTAAGCACAGGCTGCAGGACACGTGCCTGGGCCTGGCCCTCTTCAAGCTGCTCCGCCGAAGGATGGAGGGCCACGCCATGGTGGAGGCCTGCACGGAACAGGCGCGCGACCTCGTGCGCTACGGCATCCTCGAGGTGCTCGGCGCGGAGCGGGCCTTCGACGTGGTGGAGCAGGAGCTCACGTTCCTGGACGAGTACTACCAGGCCATCATCCCGCTGGCGCTGCCCAATCCCAAGCTCTTCGCTGCCAACTTCGCCTTCTCCATCCTCTTCATCCTCTTCTACTGCGTCGCCGTGCTGCTCGTCACCGGCAACGGCCACATATTCCACGTCCTGGCGTCCCTCTTCCGCGGCCTCGTGGCACTGTCCGCCGACATGGTCCTCCAGTACAGGTGCTTCGTCCACCAGGCGTCGTTCCTCATCGCCATGGTGCTCTCCTCCTCCGACCTCATCATCACTTTCCTGCTGACGTTCACCCTCTTCACCGTCGAGACCTACGAGTTCGTGCAGTACCTGCTCTCCGACTGGCACCTCGCGTCGGTGCTCTGCAACTACGCCACCAAACCGGCCCTGCGGAAGCGCCCCGGCGTCCGCAAAGCCGTCAAGGCTGCCCTGTGGATCAAGAAACGCTCCCGCCCCGTCATCAAGATGCACCAGTTCACCCTCCTCAAGTTCCACCAGCTCCATCCGCGCCGGGTCTGGGTGCTGCTCTCCCGCCTGCTGAAGAGGCGCCTTGTCGGCCTCCCCGATGTAGCCGTCACCACCGAGGCCAAGAAGGCCATCGTCGAGGTCCTCAAGCTCGTCCTTGACCGCGCCGTCGACGGCCAGGGAGGACAATTCAGCAATGGCAGGGAGGCGTTGCGGCGCCGCAGCAATGGCGCTTTGGGATTCGAGCAGCTCGAGTGGGCGTGCGACGAGGCCGGGGGCGCCGCCACGGTGATCCTGGTGTGGCACCTGGCGACGACGCTGCTCGAGGCGAGGGACGACACGGAGGAGCACCCGCTGCCGCCCGCAGGCGAGGCGGCCGTGACGCTGTCGAGGTACTGCGCGTACCTGGTGGCCTACGAGCCGGGGCTCCTGCCGGACGACCAGTCGTGGACAGAGAAGGCTTACAGGGGCATCAGGGCGGAGATCGACGGCTTCTTCCGGGGTTGCCTCACCACCACGAAACGCCGGGACCGAGGCCTCGGGGAATCCACGGCGATGGAGAAGGGCGTGATGCTGGCCAAGGAGCTTGAGCGTGCGACCGTCAGCTGCACGTCGGCGCACGTGGGTAGTTGAATTCGGGGAAAATGTCTGCAATCAATTTCCCCGAATTCAACTACCCAAACTAAATTCCACAAACGCTACGTGGAAAATCATAAATTCCACAAACACTATGTGTGAAATTATATTCATGTCTTTACGATTCGTAGGTTCAGTTTCTTCTCTTTCGCAATTCTAGACAATCAGTCGGTTCGCTCGTTAGTTTCAGCCAGAACTTATCAACTATGATATAATATTTTTCTCTCGCAACAAACCAGCATCAGCCAAATTTATTAGCCCAGAAACCAACCAACGAAGAGGATGAATAGAAAGAAGGTAGTGTTGAAGAGACCAGCAGTGAGCAGCGCCCGTCTCTGGGACAGCAAGGAGTAGCCCACTGACCCGCCTTTGCGGCAGATCTAGCCATCCCTTACCCGGAATTCCCCCTTACCCTCCTAGTAAAGCTGGAGCCCTGCCCCCACAATACGGCAGCTGGCCAACAACACAGACCAGATAAATCGGAAAAAGACTCGCACGGAACTGACACCACAGGTCAAAAAAAAATGCAGCGGTGGCCTACACGGGCCCTCCTCAGTACTGAGGGCTTCCCCAACGCGACACGGCGGCTATTAGCCTCAACCTTCACGTATGCAATTGGTGTCCACCTCACATCCACAGCCCGGTTCACTGATCCGTATTGTTGCTGATTCAAGAAAAATACTGTTGATTAATTCATATAAATAGTGATCCTGTGAGAGGGCTGGTCAGCCAGCCCCAGCCTCGCAGGGTGTCAGTACCTCCTGCGGAAGCGCCGAGTGCTTCGTCTGACGAAAACTGGAAGCAGTCATCCTCGCGCGCGTTGGAGAGTTAAAGCAGCACAGCCTCATCACGCTTTCCACGGGACCACAGTACCAAAGACAGAACACTTGTAGGCGTAGGCTACTGGTGTGTCAGAGGACAGCATTCACTTGCGTTGGAAAAATTGATACCTAGGCGCTGCTCTATCTAGGTGGCCTGTTACTTTTTCCTAAGGCTACACTCCTAGGAGCCTGCATTGCTGCTGCCCTGAGCATCCATCTCCCCCACCAAATGGGAGGCCGCCAGCAACAACAAGCAACGAGAACGCTCAGAACAGGAATGAAGGAAGAGGATGCAAGAGGAGAGCGCATAGCAACTAGATGCCAGAGGAACGAAAAGGGAGGCATAGAGCTCGCATCATGTTCGAAACTGTTGGCTCCTTCGTCGCTGGTTCGTGAGAAAATACTGCTGACTAGTTTGTGTGAGAGAAAAATATTATTCATGTATGAAAACACTGTTCACGTGAACAGTGCACGCGTGAGAGAGCTGGCCAGCACCAGTCAGCCAGCCACCCGCTCCAGCCGAATAGGCTGTATATCTTCAGTTCTCCAAGACCATGGTTGATGCCACTAACAAAAGGGCCCTAGCCCAAAATATCATGGACGAATCTAGGATATCATGTCACTAGGTCAAAGGACTAAGCAACGGAGTCAACGACGTGTTGATTTTCTATTTGAAAGACTAATTTACAGGTGGATAAAAAAAACTTAGTGAGTTTTTGGCAAGTTACCGGGTCAGCTGACCCCAATGGTTACACGTAGACTTGCCCCTGGCCCGGATGGAACTATCGGCACTCGACAATGTGGTGTCTCTACAGCGGGTAGCAGGCGTCCGTCCCACCATCCCTATAGTAAGGCCTTGTTTAGTTGTAGGAATTTGGATTTTGGGGCTATTGTAGCATGTTCGTTTTTATTTGGCAAATAGTGTTTAAACATGGACTAAATAGGCTCAAAATGTTCATCTCATAATTTCCCACCAAACTATGCAATTAGTTTATCTTTTCGTCTACATTTAATGCTTTATGCATGGGTCGCAAACATTCGTTGTAACAGGTATATAGTAACTTTTTGGAAATTGAGGTGGAACTAAACACCCCGTAAATCCGATGAGGAGGCCTCACCTTCTGCTCCTGAGTCGCCGCACGGGGCTCCATGCAGTCTCTTGGAGCATATACGGGCCCCCGTGTCGAGGCCTCCACGAATCCAAAGTAGATAATGAGGCCTGTGTACTTGGCCCCCTACTTATCGGGGCACAGGAAGCACAGCACACCGGGTCCACTCCATTGCCAATCGCCAATCCCACCTCGACAGTTGTATTTCTGGCTAGGAGTGCCGTGTCGACCATTCTGCTCCTAGTCGCACCCCCACCGCCGCAAAGCAGGGCACACAATGAGCGGGCCCAACTAGTCAATAGGCACGGGCCCGTGTCACGGTAGTGCACGCGCGTGGAGCGACAACAGGCGAGCGTATGACGGAGCTCCCAACCCCATCCAGCGCCCCACAGTATTTCCGGCGACGTAGCCGGGGTAGGAGCCTTGACGATAGATATCGCTTTATAGAGTTTTTCTTATATTGGGTCAACACTGGTATAGGCCTCTTAAAATTGGTCTAGGCCAAATTTAAGTGTCCGAAAAAAACACTTTTCGATTTTGAAAACCTACAATTACACCTCAAATGAAAATACAAAGAAGAAAAATAGGTAGGTGGGAAGTGGCTACATAGTAGATCAAAAGCCTGTTAGTTTGGTCGTAAACGATCGTGAATTATAAGTCAGAATAGTATTTTTCTCTCACACCAAATTTGTCGATGTTTCACCACCGATAGCCTACCACGGGGATACCCGGGGCAGTTTGTTTGGGCTTCAGCATATGCAGAACTCGACGGTAAATGCAAGAGACAGTCGATTTATCCTGGTTCGGACCCTCGACTGTGATTGAGTAATAGCCCTACATTCAGTCGGCGTTAGCCTTTGCGTTGGATTGGTTGTAAAGTGTTGTCTCTTCTGTTCTTCTGAACTCCCCTTCTAACCTCCCGATCTAAGGAGCCCTGCCCTCCTTTATATAGTCAGGAGGCCAGAGTCCTAGTCAGTTTACATTGTAGAGTCCTAGTAAAATTACATCGTAGTATTACTACTAGGATTACATGAGAGGGATCCTAATCAAACTAGATCTCCTCTCTTCCTTGTGGGGTATCCCGTGGGTCCCGCATCGACAAGCCCCCGAGCACTTCATGGTTGAACTTCGGAAGCCTCGTCTTGTTGCTCCAGGTCTTGCCGAGCAGGAACAAGCATCGCCCGAGTGCTTTCTTGAGCGAAACCATGTAGCGCTTCGTGAGATCTTCGGGTGGCGTGTAATTTTTTTGAAGAAAAAATACTCCCATCTGGGTGCAGCCCCCGAGCCTCTTGCTATTTGGAACAAGAAACTGGAGGGTCTTGTCTTGAAGAAGTCTTATGAGTGATGTGGGTTTTTTTTGAAGAAAAAGTGAACTCACTGAGTGTAGCCCCCGAGCCTCTTGCTATTTGAAATAAAGAGTTGGAGGGTCTTGAATCTGAGTTGTTCAAAGAACTGAAAACCTCTTCTGAGGATATGTAGGATCTTGTAGACATTCTCAAGGGTATATCCAAGTAACCCACGAACTGCAGTAGGCTATCCATATACCATTGCAAGTCAACACAGTTGCGCCACCGAGTACTTTCCATAATTAGCTTGTGTGCTTGATGTCTTCTTGCATGCTGCTGTATGTCATGCCTCTTCCTTTGTTTCGCTTGAGTAATGAAAGTACATATAAATATGCATGTGCATCTTCATATTCGTGCTCATCTTGCTGACGCAAAATCTTCTCGTTCGACCATGATCCGATCTAAGTAAGGCAACCTAGATAATCCGTCAAAAGGCTTCGGGTGGGCAGTCCCCTCACCGGAGACCCCGTATCACCCCCACCTTAGAATTTCCAAATCATCGCAACAAGGTCGACCTTAGCTGTCGAGTAGTTGATCACCCCAACCAAGTAGTCGATCACCGCGGCCAAGTAGTCGGACATGCGACCGAGTGCTCAGACATGTGGTCGAGTAGTCGGACGCCCTGGCGACTTGTAGAGCAGCAACCGAGTAAGACAGCGCGGGGCATGTGTCTCACCCAACGAAGTAGTGGCAAAGTACGGCAGCCAGCGGTGGGCAAGCTCCTTACTTGATGACGTGGTCCAGAAAATGGTTCCCTGCAAAGTAATCATACGAAAGTATGTAATAATTGATACACAAGATATCAAGTTGGAAGTATGTCCCAGTATTATAAAATGCATAATAAATTTTTTCACGTCTTGCTTTTACTAGGCTATGTAATTTCCCCAGGTAGGTAGCATGTTACGTTTAAACACCTCTCGTACATTTCTGGCGAGTAGGCTTCACGGATTAAGGCCTCAGTAACCCAGGTAAATTAACAACCGTTAAGAGAAGACATTATAAAATGCATATTAAATTTTTTCGCGTCTTGCTCTTACTAGGCTATGTAATTTCCCTAGGTAGATAGCCTGTTACATTTAAACACCTCTCACACCTTTCCGGCGAGTAGGCTTCACGGATTAAGGCCTCAGCATCCCAGGTAAATTAACAACCGTTAAGAGAAGACATTATAAAATGCATATAAAATTTTTTCGCGTCTTGCTCTTACTAGGCCATGTAATTTCCCTAGGTAGGTAGCCTATTACATTTAAACAATTCTTGCACCTTTCCGGCGAGTAGGCTTCACGGATTAAGGCCTCAGCAACCTAGGTAAATTAACAACCGTTAAGAGAAGACTTTAGTAGTCGCGGATGCAACTGTAGGAGAGCCGCGGAGGCATATGGATAATATCCGGAGATATATGGTGATTAAAGAATATTTGAAAAAATATTAAACCATAATTTAGCTTGATTGACGGCCACGTGGTAGAATCAGTGCGCGATCCTGACATTTTGCGCTTAGGAGACCCCAGTGGTTGTAGCCCCCGAGCATTAGCTTGATCACTACAGAGTACTCGACATGCGGACGAGTAGTCGGACAACGCAGTAGAGTAGTCGGATACCGCAGCAGGGTGGTTGTTGATGAAAATAGATCATTCGCAGCATTCGATTGAGTAGTTCACAGACCAATCCATGATCGACCGGACCCATTCTAGATCAGTACGTTGAGTCCGAGTTATCCTT